GACCTCCAAATACAGGAAGCAGTAACTGACCCAGGGACCAGAGCTCTGAAATGTCACCATGTTTGTTCTGAGGCAGTCACACCTCCTGCTTCCCATGGGCTGCTCTCAGCCAAAGACAGCATGGTGAGGACACTGAGGCACGCCCTCTTTGGCTTTGAGGATTCCCCCATGACCTTGATGAACCTTCTTTAGACTGGTGATCAAGAATACTTCAATTTAATCTCCTTTCTTTCTCTACTTCACGTGGGGTCAGCCTTATCTGGCTGCCTTCCCCTTCTCCCTCATGGGCATTTCTCCTAATAGTCTTTGCATATCAACTTCTGTTTTGGTGTGTGTTCCTCGGAGGACCTGGACTAACACAAACTGATTAAAAGCACACCTTTGCAAAGTACAGAACCATCTATTTGATATGTTGCATTTTGGGTCAAAAAAAGAGAAGGAATAAGGGTATATATTGAGTTTAGCTGATAGAGGCATCAAAAATTCCCAAAGATGTTGAATAAATTAATAACAGCAGTGTCGAGTGAGGAGTTTTGGTAAGAACTTGTGAACAGGGAAAAGAGCTGGGAGGGAATCTTTTCACAGTGCACCTTTAAATACATATATTTTTTTATTTTCTAACAAGTACATGTACAATAATTTGAAAATGTAAAATCAAATATTTGGATTTAAAAAGCATATGAGGCTGGGTGCAGTGGCTCACATTTGTAATCCCAGCACTTTGGGAGGCTATGATGGGAGGACAATTTGAGCCCAGGAGTTTGAAACCAGCCTGGGCAACATAGCAAGACGTCTCAATAAAATAAAATAAAATAATAAAATAAAATAAATATAAAAAAAGAGAATGGAAAGCATATGAACTGAGAAAAAAGAAAGCATTGGCATTGGAGACAACCAGATCTGAGTTTGAGCTGGAGCTCATCTTTGTGATCCTGGAAGATCAAGGGACAGTGAGTGGTGGAGACATCGGTGAGTCTGAGCAGACGCTTTTAAGAGCCAGTACATGGGGTGGTCACTGTGCTCCTCCTCCTCTACCACAAACAGCACTGTCCCAAGTGGGGGCTGCTTCTAAAGACTGGATTCTGGAATAAAGTTGCAGAGTCACAGCTGGCTGGTAGCTGCTGCCACTAATAGGCAGTGTGTGCAAAATAAACTTCCAAGGTTTCCCCAAACTTTTAATTTTGAAAAATTTCAGAATAAAGCTGAAGAAGTCCAATTAACACTCTCACTTAGATTCCCTGATCGTTAACATTTTGCTACATTTGCTAAATTTCTCTTGCTCCTTCTTTCAATATAGTTCCCTATTTTTGCTGAACCATTTGAGAGTTAATTACAGGCATAAAGATACTTTACCCCCAAATTATATATATACACACACACACACACACACACATATATATGTAAATATATTTGAGCAAGGATTCTCTCTTATATGACCACATTCCTATTATCACATTCAATAAATAAAACATTAACATAATTTAGCATACAGTTCATATTACAAATTTCTCTGTTACAATAATAGCCTTTGTAAGTTTATTTTCCTTTCTGATCCAAGATCCAAGTGAGGATCATGTATGGCTATTAGCTGTATGTCTCTAATTTAGTCTCCTTTAATTTAGAACAGTTCTCTGAACTTTTTCAGTTCATCTTTCAAAAAATGCATGTTTTTGAAGAATTCAGGTTGGTTTTGTTTTGTAGAATGTATCACTTTGTGGCTATATACTTACAATTCTTTAGATTCAGGTTAAATATTTATGTTAGGAACGCTACAAAGATGATACAGTTTAGATCACAATCAGGAAGCACACAAGATGTCAGATTGTCCCATTTGGGGTGACAATAAATTTGACTACTTGGAGGTGATAGCCGACAGATTTCTCCACTGAAAAGTTTCATTTCTCCATTTGTGTCTAGTCAGTAATTTGTGAGGTAATACTTAAAGACTGCGTATCTTGATCCCCAACAAACTTTTTCCATTGGTTTAGCATCCATTGATGATTCTTTCCTGTACCAGTGATTACACTGGTAGCTGCAGAATGGTGATTTTCCCCCTTTCTATTAAGCTTGCTACTTTTATTAGCTGGCATTCTGTTGTAAAGAAAACTTTCCCTCCACTCTCCACCCTCATTTATTCTTGAGTATCATTATGAACTCATGAATTTTTAGTAAATATAATTTTTCAGCATTATTCTTTTTGTTATTTAAACTGTCCTAAATCTGAACAATGGAGGCCCATTCAAGTTGGAGCCTGTGTCCTTTTAATATGTTTCTGTCTGTATTTTCTTTCTTGCACAATAGTGTTCCAGGCTCATCTTAGATGCTTACTGTCTGATTCTTTTAATTTGGCAGAGACATTGACAGAGTAAGGCAAAGATTTGGGAGCCAGTTAATAAAGAAGGCAACAGATGGGATTTAGAGTAACAAAATATTTGGGGAAAACTTTTGGCCAAGGATTTATCTGGGGGTATGTCTCTCAAATTCTCCAAACCTAGGGCCGGGCTCGGTGGCTCAGCCTATAATTCCAGCACTTTGGGAGGCCGAGGTGAGTGGATTGCCTGAGACCGCAGGTTCGAGACCCGCCTGGG